GGAACATTTTGATTTACTTAACAAGTGTACCTATGTATGGCAATTAGGATCCATTGACGTAAGGAGGGAAGTTAATCAGTTCTAGTTTTGCACGTTCCCAATAACTCATACAGATTATCATTCTATTCTGGAAATTTTTCATTTCCGATGAGATAATGACGGAATCGCTTCAGCAAGATTTCAGTTGCCGTGGATAATCCCTCTATTTCTCATGTACTATCGTAACGTAATGCTTTTAGTTTATTGTATTGTAACATCTCAATATTGAGTTCTTCTCATAAAGTTTGCAACCTAACCAGAATTTTCCCAACTGAATTTGTTTCAGGGATCTGTAGTGGCCATATGAGTTTCGAAACAGACGAACTAATGCCGGCCAGCCATAAAGATATGGTGAGTTTTAGTAGGGTAAAGGAAAATTAATCACTTCGAATATGGTAATAAAGAAAAGTATCAGTGTTTCCTTGAGGACAAACGTTTCCAATTTGTGCAATGTGGATGTGGCGATTTTTTTTCTATTTCAATTTAGCATACGAAGTTGAGTCACCAAGCAATACCGAGTCAGACAGAGATCCTAACACGGATGAACTTCCATCAAAGCCAGCTGATGGTGATAATGGTTCGTTTAGACATTTTCTCATTGAATGTGCCGCATTCTACTGATGTTGGATTCAGCTGCAGGATTTAAGTAACGAGCGATATTGCTCTAGTGCTGGTGTCAGAGTCCGCGATCCGTCGCGCGATTCGCGCGAATCGCAAAAATCGCAAGTGCCCATTTGAACATTTGAAACACTGAATATGAAACAAGTAGAATCATGAACAGTCGTCATTCAACCATCACCATCAAGCAGAAATGGCGGCGGGATTGGAGAGCACTCGCGGTATTGATTGGGGCACTTGTGATCTCTGGGATTTGTCTTTTATTTGCGACGAATCGAGGACTCGGACACCAGCCTAATGCTACTCCTTCACTTACCGTATGCCGAACTTCATTGGTTCTCAATAAATCTGGAACATCAAGAAGTTTGGCAAATACCTTCATTGTGCATCTCCACAGCTTTTCACATATCAAACATAGTCATGAAACGTTATAACAAATATGTGATTATGAAAGTGCTTCCTTTCTGTGCAAGCTAGTGTTCACCTACGTTACGAATCAAGAATTACAGGTGTGTGCATTTCGTCGCAGTAAATGATAATACAGGGGCTTTACAAATTGTATGACTGATTTGATGACAAACACTTAAATGGACACTTCTCCCATTTTTGAAGAATATTTGCCGCCATTTGAAATTATGGGAATGGTTTCAACGTGTTACAGTATTTAATTGTCGTATTTTGCCAATTTTCAGATCCAGCAAAAGCAGACCCTGGTCAACCTCCAAGTCAGTTTTAATTACATATTCACAACGTACTGAATTATTTCACGCTGAGAGCATTTATTATATAAACAATACCATATGTGAATTTTCGCCTAAGTGTTTAAAAGATCTTTTGATGACTGGCTTGAACATTCTCAGTAGAGAGGCTCGGTCTTGCACATTCAGCCAGGTGCGCAAGTCTTGGCGGTGAAAGGGTGTTCAAAGGATGTGGCACGCAGTTGTTGTCTTAAGTATTTGTAAGATCTCAAAAAACTGATCCATGTTGTATGTCGTTTCTGACTCGTCAAAATGGAGCTCATGGGTAAGAAAACACACATTTTATTTTTTACAATTCTTCATAGTTTGTCAACCAAGCATAGCGTTTTTCATCTCTTCAGTTGATAAATGAAGCCTGGCTTCTAGAATTTTGTTTATAGAGTCTAGTGACGAAGAACCTGCTGCTGGTGAGGGCTTGTCCGAGGAGGTTCTACGAAGTAGAAAAGATCTTGGATCATGATGAAACCAAGGAAGGGCTATTTTATCTAGTGAGTTTTTAACACTTGAAAGGAATTAGGGTTCAAAATTCATCTTCAAAAATTATGTGGCAGGATGGTCACTTTCTTGAATGTCACATCTCATTTGTTAGTTGTTCTTGAAATTGATTGACAAGAAATTACCTTGATCGTTATTAAAGTGCGCCGATGTGCAGCAAGTCTGCGATTGGAAGCGATCCGGTCAAATGTGAATCGCGCGACCATCGCGCGATTCGCGCGATGGTCGCGCGATTGGCACATTTCTCAAATCATGACCAATCGCTCCAATCGCGCGATGGGCGCGATCACTCCCGTTGTGGCAGGGCGCGCCCCTCTCGATCGATACGTTGACTGAGGTATCGATCGAGAGGGGGCGCCGCACCGAGCCACAACGGGGAGTTGATCGCGCCCATCGCGCGATGGGTCATGGATTTGAGAAATGTAGCAATCGCGCCCGCACATCGCGCGACCGAGTCGCGCGAATCGGGGCTCCGCGCGATTCACAGTTGACCGCGGAATCGCTCGCAAATCGCAAACCTCTAGACATCGGCCAGGCGTAGAACAATCACCTATTCACATCGTTCTTCCTTTTACTTGGGCCATTAAGTCTGATTTGAAAAAGTAAGAGCGTAGTGAAACGTCTACTCATCCTTTTCGTTTGTATGCCTTTTTAGTTATTTCACAGCTGTTCTTCAGAATTTGTGGCATTTGCATCTAGTACATTTATTCAGCTGCGGTCACCATGAGTACTTTTTTCGATATACTACGACGTATCAAAATTTCGATGATATGTCAATGTCTGCCAATTTTACAGGTGCACTGGAAAGGTTTTTCGGAAGAAGACGATTCATGGGAACCTGCTGAAAATCTGGTATTTGCTACTAAAGCTATCGCTGAGTACGAGTCTACTAAAAAGTCGAAATCAAAGAAGGTAATATATAAATTTCCACATTTGTTGTAAATCGATTTTGTCTTCAGACATGATGTTTCAAAAAGTGCTTGAATGTTGTGAGTTCAAATTATACCGTTTGGCGAAAAATTACGCGCGTGTGTATGACATTTGACTACGTTTTAAACATCATATGAAATATTTGTACGTTTTTTGGGGCCTTCATGGAGGAGCAATTTGGGAGCCGGGTTTTGCGACTCTGCGAGAGGACTTCTCTAAAATTTCTGATAATGTTTCCTGCCGCTTTTGGTGCGTCATCGATTCGATGACCGAGCAGATCGGTGTTCTCGTATCGAAACTGGCTACGGCTGCTCTAGAGCTTCTTTAATTGAGAGAATTCGGGTTGATTGTTTCATAGAAATCCACTGACGGTAGTAAGGCCCGCCGAAGACCATATATTCATACGTGCGAGAGCCACATATTTACAACTGCGAAACTAATTTTGTGTAATATTTGGATATTTTATATTTCATACATACCCATCCGCATACATTATCAGGTCCGAAAAATAATGTCTCCATCAACTGTATAAAATTTTTGAAGAATAAACGAATCTTGATGAAAAAATGAAAAATATGCTCAATGCACGCACATCTGCACTCGTCAATGGGTTAAGGGCAAAGATTAAATTTGCAGTTTTTTCTGTGGCACGTAATCTTGGGCCACCCTGTAGAGTACTCTCGGGGTAACGACTATGGCTATAATTTGTTTTTTTTTTTTTGTTGTTTTTTTTTTTTTTTTTTTTTTTTTTTTTTTTTTTTATTTTTTTTTTTTTTTTTTTTTTTTTTTTTTTATTTTTTTCTTTTATTTTTTTTTTTATTTTTTTTTTTTTTTTTTTTTTTTTCTCTCTTATATTTATATTTGTTTTTACCTCATATTATTAATCTTTTATATTTATGGTCAAATAGTGATAAGATGTCACTATTATATATCCTTGCCTGTTGAATTCCGCATCTTGTTTTGTCATTTAGTTTGGCAGTTCTTCAGGATTAGACCGACGTCATAGTCGGCGACGGACCAAGCGATGGAGCGATCGCGATCGCTCCATCGCTTGTCCGTCGCTTGCCAATCGCTCTCGGTCGAGCGATTGGCAAGCGATTGGCGCATGGTGTGACCGAGACGAGCTGTGGCATCAGATGCGATTCCGTTTTGGCTTAGAACTATGGTGACACTGCTGTCACACTCATGTTCGTTCTTGTTTAGTTATTCACATTAATAACACCTCCATCGCTGCTACTCTATTTTGCTTCGCTGCTGTTCTGATTTTATGAAGCTCTAATTATTTTGAGCTAATAAAGTTTACCCGTGTATTTACCCACGCTACTTTTTCAGGAGTAAGAAACGCAGTCGCCAAAAGGCGTCGGTTGAGAAGTCAGAGTCGGAACCGGAACCAGAGATTCCATCCGACGATATCGAAGATGAAGATTACAATGAAAAACCGAAGAACTCAAAAAAGTGAGCTTTGCTTTTGGGTTCAGCGGCATGTTGGCTTCTACAAAAGTGTTGGTTTTGTTGCGGAATACCTACACCTTTAAAATGACGCTTTTTAGAGCCTCAGCACCACCGAAGGGTTCCGGCACAATCACCAAAGCGGCACTGAAATCGTACTCTCCAACTACACCCAGAAATCGCAGAGGTTCTACATCCACGTCCACTTACGTGTCACCTTCAGAAACCCTATCTGCGGCGAAAAAAGTGGGTTATTGCATTAAGTGTGGCCATGGTCTCAATGAACGTTTAATCTATTTGAGAGCTTCAAGAATTCATCGAGGAACTGTCAGTTTCTTAAGGACCCACTCGATCCACTTTGTAGACCGTTCCAATACCACTCAAAAAGACATTCAGGATGACTTTGCCGCTCTGCCGAGCATTTTTATGCTTGTGATACTAATTTTGCCGCTCGTTTCTGCTATCCGCTTTCCTGAATGAGACTGTTGCGATTATCTAGATTAATCGTCATGGCAGGTTGCTAATTCACTCAATCCTTTCTTATGGCTTATTGTCCGGCTGAGAAAGGATTATTTCAGCAACTGATATTCTTATTGTTTCTCTGTTTAAGGATTTTGAGGTCAAACCTGATCCAATGCAGGCCTTGCTCATGCGCCAGTCTTGGTTGTACGATAGTGATTCGGATGAGGATTCTGGTACGGAAAAGGAAAATGAGAAGAAAATGGAGCAGCGTAAGCAGATTGAAGAGGAGCAGTCGAGACTCAGGCGAGAGGAGGAACAACAAAAGCAAAAGGAAGAGTCAAGAAAAGTGATTGAAGAGCCACCGCGAAGCAGTGAGCGCAAGCGCAAAGCCGAAGATAGCTCAGACAAGAAAAAGAGACACAGGGTGAATTCCTCTTTCTATTAATTTTTTTAGCATTGACGCAATCACATTCTCATTTTTACCGCAACACATTCTGGCGGAAACGTTTTTTTATCGCAGGAAATGTTCGAAGCAATTTTTCCATACATTCGAGGGTAAACGTTTCATCCACCGAGCTTCGCATGGTTCTTTTGCTTTCAGAACGATGTATCTGAGAAGCCTGTGGAGGTTGCTAGCCCGACCTCAGAGTCGTATCATAATGGTGAGAAACGCCCTTCAGTTCCTCCAGCTATTTCAAATGGTTAGTGATTTTCGTAGCTCAGTGTTGCTTGTTTTACTAGCCATAGATTTCTAGTTGTATTCGGTTGTTTCTTATTTCGTCCTAATTCTTTAGTTGTATTGATTTCTATAGTTCCTGTATTAGAATGTTTTTGAGAATGCTTTTTGAGCGCGTGTGCAGTAATTTTCTATCGAGTTGTCTGTATTGGTGATGAGCGTAATTCACAAAAAAACTTGGTTAGATTTTGGGCAGAAAATTAGTGAAAACACTAATAAAAAAGCAGTGGAATTGAAAACATTGAGGCAGAGGAGGGAGGGATGGGGGTGCCAGTAGCGTTCATGTCGTTTTATCCAAGCTATGTAGGGTAGTGGTTAATCTGTTGTGCTAGCTAGTCCTGTATTTTATATATTTTTGTTTTCTCCAAATTCTGTTCATTCTAGCACATTCTTCATCTGCCCCAAGCACATCTATTACCGAACACAATCCTCAAGAAGAAGTGCAGATATTTGCTATTGGTAAAGTGAATGATGGACGTATCAGAGTGGTGATTGGAAATGACCAGGCAAAGAAAGTCGTTTCTTTACGCGGACGGTGAGTACTGCAGTATTATTTCATACACTTTTCATCAAGACAAGTTCCTTGCCTTTACTCTGACGCACCAATGATTTCTAAGGAGTAAGATATACTCGCGAATAGTTAGAGGTAGGGTTAATATAGCTTGCCTTGCAGTTCCAGCTGCGCGCCCTGTTGCCCTGTGCGTGCTCCCGGGATGGATATACATAAAATTTCTTGATATTTTAGGATTTGCGTTTTAAATTCCTCTTAAACGTGTCTTGAGCGAGTAGCTATCGTAGACTGTAGAATGCAGAAATTTCTGGGGGTATACTACCTCCAGGAAGTGTCGTATAGGGGAGCGATTAGATTTTTTGGCGCATTTCACAGGGAACTGCTTAATTTTTTTTTCAGCGCTCAATTTAACTTTCGGGTTGCCCCCTCTGGTTTCCTGGGCATTGGCTCAGAAAGAAAAAACCATTATAAAACGACAAAATAATTAAAATGGTTCGTTTCGCTCCTTCCTCAGACGAACCTTATTATTTCGTCAATCCCCGGAGCTCATCAGTGAGTTGGGATTGGCGAAATAAGAGACACAGGGAAAGACGAAATAAACCTTGAGCTAACGTACAAATTTATTGGGGTCAAGTAGCGTTAGTTGCATGGTTATTGCAAGTAATTAGAACGGAATTTCCGTGCAATACGAGTTGAAGAGAGAAATCGTGCTGTGACGTCAATCAATCAATCAATCCAAGTTCCCCCTTTACTTCTTAATCACCCTTCTCTGATCTTTCACGTTTGATACGAATAATATTGTAAGCAATAATGTAAGTGTAGCGTTGCTAGTTCTGACGGCTTGAATAAAATTGAAACACTATCAAATCTAAATAGGATAAAGGCCATAGCAGTACTTTTTCAGATAAAAAATACTGTGTTTAGAGGATCATGTCATGGAAGATTTTTCAGATGCGCACGATGCCAACTCGTGGGGATTATTGCAGCACCTTCTGCAATATGCTATTTTTGATGATTTCGATGAATAGCGCAATTCAATCGTGGAAATTGGAACTTGTTAGAACTGTTTTCCATTATTCTCTTATTTTGTCGCGGTAATCTCTAGTTAGCCATACCGTTATTCGTTCTTGTTTTTCCTATTTGTGAAGTTTTAATGCGACCGTTGTGCAACGAAAGTGTCAGGTCGTACATTTATAGTGAATTTAATTTGCCGGATACGTGTGAAACCTCCTAAAGCTTCTGTAAGTGTTCACTAGTAATCAGTTTGACGAGGCACGAATGTGATAAGGTCGCGCTGCAGATAATACGTTTTTACTCCATTACCTTGCCTACATCTACCATTGCATCTAATTCAACACTCCTGGTAAATATTATCGTGCGACAGCCAATCCTGAAAAATGGTTTCTTTAACGAGAATTATTGCCGATCATTCGTTTTTCTGGGTTCTCCAAAGATATAATTCGTTTGTTTATCCAATGGATCTCATTGTAATCGTAGGACTCATTCCACTTTACTGGCCCTCGATATTGTAGTCTTCTAAATTTTGTGTCATAAACGTTACTTATATGGGGTGGTTGTCGCTTGAACTGTGCTATTTACAATGAACGACTATGTGCTGCTGTTTTCGAAGTTTATTTTCCCGTTGTTTGCAATCCGTTGTTCTGTGTTTATCATTTTCTCATTTATTTATCTAAGGTATAATTGATTTTATCTTGCTACCTGTATGACTGATCTGGTCACCGTTGGTGGTTGTTCTCTCATTTCCTAATTTTTTTTCCGGAAGAAAGCTCTGTTACAGTGTTGCACTTTTGCTGTCTCTTACCCTGCCTGGTGACTTGATCATTATTGCAGGGTTTGATTTATTTCACTCGTTGTGTTTGGAATTTGCAGAAGGCGGTGCGATTGCTGATTTCTGCATGGAGCATGGAAACGGCGGTGGCTCGTTGTGTGAAGTATCCATGATCGCCAATCGCCATTAGTCACTTCATTGTATGATGTTCTTGTATCCAGCCAAGTTTCATGCACGCCATTTTCCCATTTATTTTGTGTCATCCCGCTTATAGTAGTTGTTAAATAGTCCCATACAAAAGTTCATTTGTGAAGCTGTGAATTTTTCTTGTTAAAAAATGTAGAATTTTTTTATAAATGTGGTAGAGTAAAGTTTTCAAATGCTGACTTCTGGTTTTGAAATCTTTGCGGTATGCCGAGGCTATATTTGTGTACGCTATCACAGCGATTGTTCGGAGGCGGTCTCTCGCTGTCGGTGACGAATACCCGTCGAACATTCTAGCATGTTCGTTGGAAAGTCGCCAGATCTATATAAACGTGCAGCCGTTGCAAGGTTAGCGTTTTCGAATTCAAATATGTTTGGTTCTTTATTGTTCCTCTTAGTCAGGTCCTGAAAACTTATGCCTTATTAGAGTTTCTAAACCTTTTGTGTGTTGTTGAAAACGCTTGGATTTTAGGCATTTTCCTTTGGGAATTTTTTTGCATCGCTTCAATCGAGTGAAGGAATTAAGACCCTCATCTTTTTTTTGGCAGTAGAGCGGTTTTTAAAGGGGCACGTTAGCAATAGTTGGTCCAAAAGTGTTAGGATCATAAAATTTTGATTCTCCGCTTTCCCATGCTGGTAGTGGTTGTTTTCTGCCGGCTTTGTTTCTCAAATTTCGACAAGCAGTTCTGTCAGTCAGGGATGCATGTGAGGCTCTATAGCTAAATATATTTTGTTATAATATTTTCATCGATGTAGTTTTCCTTTCAACCGATCTCAAAGTTATGACCAAATGAATGGGTTAATCATTTTAATAGGCACTGCACGCTTCCCGTTCTGTTATTATGTTTAATTGAAAATAATTGTGAGGTTTGCGTGTTCGTGTCACTGTTTTTTGCAAACATATTTTTTCATGCTCTTATTAATACGCACTCTATTGTGTTGTGGTCAAGATGGTTGATTGATTCTATTTCTGCAATTATACTGTCTCGCCACCTTCTCAAATCAACAAGGTTTCTTTTTTTATAAGAACGTTCAGAGAAAGTCGATGCTACATAGTTCTTTCGAGAAAACTATTTTCTTCTTCCAAAAAATTTGTCATGCTGCAGGGGACTTTTGTTTACATTTGCGTCCAATATCCAGTATCCTATAAAGTTTTCATTTTTCTTCGAAGATTCTCGATGAGCCCATATCGAAAAGAAAATTCATAGCAGATTGGGGTTCCCTATAGAGTTTACTTGTTGCTTTAGTATCGAATGACATCAATTTCTAAAGGGGGGGGGGCAAGTTTGAGCCACAAGAGGAGAGGCCTCAGTATGGGAAAGCTCTCTTTTGATTCCCCGCAATTCATTTTCCTTCTAGATTAAATGTGAACTCGTCGCAGTTGAGACGTAATCGTGGCCATAAGCTAATTACGGCGATTCTGGTAAAATGGCATCATATTAAACGGTGCCAGTGAAACCAGCGCCAATCACTGAATGTTATATTGTCCTTAAAAGCGCCCTGAATATGCCGTTGTAATGACTTTTTGATTATAGCTGCTCTGAATCGTGTACTCAGGTGTCGTTCGCTCAGTTTCGCTCAATGTGACCTATTTGATGAACTTATTTTCAGCTTGCCGAGAGGAGCCTTCAAAATCAGAACTTGTCTGAGCTTTCGAGATTCAAGAATTGAGAGGATTTCTTGCACAAAGTATTGCAGTCTTGATGGCTGACGAGACGTACCTCAACATTACTGGAACAACTTGCTGGCCCTCACCACGAAGGTGTCGGCCGAGTCAGAGGAGCATGATGTTACACCGAGGCCTATGAGTGTGAGGTATGACAATATGTATATGATCAACAACGAGTTCAAAAATATGTATTCGGGAGGTTATTGTCTTCTCGCAATCTTGCGGCACTGATTCTATTGTTACTATGATTGCTGAATGGGATAGAAATCGAGCACTTGACGTGAGAAATCTTTTCTTGTCTTGTTGACATCGTTCGCTCATCCGTTCACTCTAACATGATCGGATAAGTCGATCGCTCCGACTGAAATATATCTTCTGCTGAAACTTGGTTGGACTTGGACGGCGCACGATTCGTTTTGACTCCTGGACCATGCGCGGCGACATGCGCGCGAGCGCCAGCGATTGCCACCATGCCACCCCCCGTCCGAGAGTTTGAATGAGGGAGGGAAATGTTTCTAACCACGTGAAGAGATTCGAGCTCTGAGCAATTATATGACTTGTAGCTTTCGTCGCCAATTCATTTTAGAACTATTACTCTTGAATAAAAAAATTGTTAGGAAATCGACTCGATGGACCCAGTGTATTAATACCTAAATGAGTGCGGTTGACTTTTCTGTAGAATGATCATAAAATCATGTAGAGGTGGTCAAGGGAATTATGCCAGCTTAACGTCCCATAGTTACCTTTACGAATACACGGAGTTGAAATGCAGGAGTGTTTAGTAGCTTTTTTGCGTCTTATTCATGCGTATTCTTTAGAGCGTTTACTTGATCTTGGAAATATCTCCACAAATTTCCCCTTCTATAGTTATTGTTTGAACCTGTATTTTAAGAATCGTAAATGGTTGGAGGCGGTGATGAAGGATCTGGTCAAGGAAAGTGATCCAGGACGCCAGATGGATGCGATTTTGAAAAGTTTGCACTCTTATGCATCAAGTCCTGCTGATCTCAATGAGGATGATCTCGGGAAAATTGAGGTTGTATAATGTTCCATGATTCCAAAGTTTCGTTGCCATAAAATTTTCTTATAGGAGTTGGCGGATCATCTTGAAGACATTCTTGGATATGCAGAGATCACGAACCGGTTTGTTGGAAAAGGAGGCTTACTTGTCATCGAAGCCTTTTTGGTTAGTTTCGTCTTCGATTTTTTTCTTTACATTGAGTCGTGTTACATCACTTTTCATTGGTGGAGCAGTGTTTTATTGCATATATTTCATTAATAATTGGTCAAACGCATAGAAAAGCATGGCACTTTAGTAAAGAAAAACAATGGCAACGGATTAACTTAAAAGCACACCTCATGATGAGGTCTGTGAAACGGAGCGATCAATCTGAAAAGGGCTAGGGGTCACGAGGCGTCGAGGCTGGCGGAAGTCGCCGATATACATCACTATCTGTGTCGTACACTGATTTGCTGCGCTTTTACTCTTCGGATCTTTCTTGCTTCTTGTCTGCCGCTTAAACTCCTCTAACATGAAACAATTGGAGACTGTCCGTTCCTTGTTTTCTTTCTAGTTATACTTTGTTAGTGCGATTCACTCCACTATATTCATACACCATCCTTTCATATTGAGCGGGAACTGCACATCAACTTTGATTCTAGGGTTCTCTTGAATTTAATCGTAGGAATGACTGATGAGGTAAAACCCATGATGACCTCGACAGCTAGTGCGGAGCCCCTTCACTGAGGGGCGGTGTGTTGGCTCCGTTTGAATTCGTGAACCGTGCCATCCCTCAATTCTAAGAACACACTTAAAATAACCAACCCGGCTCCTCACAGACTGCACCAAGATGGTTGATCTGTTTAAGTTCCTTTTTTATTTAACTACGAACCCAGAAAATGGTTTCGCGTTGGACAATCTCATCTTCCGGAGTGCGCCCCATATTAGATTCGTATTCAGAGTCGTAAGGAGGGATGTGGATGTGATTGTACCTTCACAACGTTTGCGAAAAAAGTAAAGCGACATATACTTGCAATATTTTAACTTACCCTTCCCCCCCCCTCATGAGAATAACAAAAAAAATAACATTTTCCTTCCCCTGCCAACATCCCCTAGTTGACCGACCGTTCAGAGTTAGATACACAGTTGGGCCGAGTAGAATTCGATAAAAGTTGGAGAAGTCCAAAGTCCAAGCACTGCGCGTCCACTATCTGCGGCTGTCCTAGTATCTTGCTGAAAGACTTATTAATCCTAATTCACTTTCTGGCTTCAGAATATTTTGCGGTACACTTAGGAGACACATGAAACTATCAGTGAATGTTTCTATTGTTTTTTTTTTTGTTTTCAGACTCAGCGTCAACACTTATTTTTGCAATGTCGTTTTGCTGAGTTTGTACTTAGCCTCACTGAAAATAACCCATCCACACAGTGTGCATATCATTATTTTTCGAGAGACAGGACACCCAAAAAATGATGAAGCTGTTGGAAGATGATACATACAGCGAGGTTTGGAAACTTAAGTTTTTTTTTATCTGATTTTCGATGAACAGTGTGAATATCTTTTGCAATTTGCTTCGTTTCAGGAGTTCCTTTTCAAGCTGCTCTTTCTAGGTTGTTGGCATCAGTTCGTCCATCTAGAGTCCCTCGAGTGATAAAAATTCCATCCGTAAACTATTACCTAAGGCTTATGTTTTTCTGAATTCTCCAACTTTTTGATCACCTGATTACTTTTTCCGCTTAAATTTATCTATCCTACCATTCATAGAATGTGAACAAAGCCGTGTCGCTCTTCGTGTCCGTAGGTAGCTTTCGGGATTTAATAAACTTAAACGATTTGTGCCTGCAACGTACCTCCAGCAGTGCGAAAAATTCGGGGTTCCCCACAGCGTCGCGGCCGAAAAGTGCAAAGTCATCGGACGTCCTCGCAGTACTAGGATTTCCGTCCCTGTGTTCACTAAAGTTTCCCACTGCAGCTGTCTAACATCGCACACTCACGCGCTGCCAACTCGTCCGCGTCGATCTGCCTTTCATTGCCGCGCGACCGGCCTCCCTGGAGTTACCCGGAAAATTTGACTGTGATTTGGCTGCATAGATTCAGCGAATGTGGCAGCGATTGTGGCACCGCGTCTCTGAGCCACTCGCGGATAATCTCTCCTGAAAATTTGCTCCGTACTTTGACTATATATTTGACGTTTTCAATTTTTGCTCTATATTCTTTTTATTTTTGCTTATTCACTCGCTCGATTTGTAGTATTATTTGTTGAGAATCGTGGCCCTCAAACTTCAAATATTGTGCAAGAGCCAACGAGAGAAACTCGGCGAACGGCATCCGCCGTGTGCATACGATATACGCTACACTTCTAGAGGACTCACGTATTCTAATATCACTATTTCCTTTTCTCACTCCACATAACTAATGATCATAATGTAGTAATATTTTGTACGGGTTTCTTCATACATGCTCTTTTAGCTTCACATGCAAGGCGATTAACTGCCGGAAATTTTGTCGAACTTCTTATATGTTCTTCAGCATTATCCATCTGATTGTGCTGCTGAACTAGAGTATATAGGGTGAGTTTGGTGAATTAGTTGTCATTTATCAGTACTGCACTTATCTTACTAGAGTTAATGAATGATCAGTTCTTAGATTATAAAATAGGTTTTTTTTTTCCGCACTCTGCTGGTAGTTGAGGGGGACGTCGTGCATGATTCAATGTGACTTGTCTTAGCCCAGATTTATTATGCTTAAAGGCAAAAGTCAGGCTCGTGTTTCGGCATTATGGCACCTGATATTGAGTTTAGAGATGGGAGGTGGAACGATAGTGAAGAAAAAACGAAAAAAAAACTGTCGACAACACCTAAATAGAAACCCATTCCTTCTAGCAGTGAAGGAGATTTGCTCGGGGGAGAGTCACGTCCAAACGAGTTTTCTGGATATGCCAGCCGTTCCATCGGTTGATACGGCAATCAACTCAGCTGATCTCACACGTTAGGCCAGCCACGCACCACATCCCATGGTGGGCGGCCGGAGCGCCTCCAGGCGGCGCGAGCGCTTAATGCATGCCCTGGGGCGTTATTACGGCGCCTTTTGAGATTCTGAGCATGGCAACGTCCCTGTGGGTGCGTAGCCATGCACATAGACGACTAAAGTGATTGGTTTGGTCCACTGAGCCTGACTCGTGGCTTTAACTCTCAACACCACTGTCATGATGGGTTAAACAAGACTTGTAGTCTTACGATAATTCGCAATCTTAATGCAATCTGATTGTTGTTTTAATGACTTTATCACTACCATGCACATTGTTTATCACTTATACGATCATGTTTATTATTTGGTCATTTTTCAGAGAGTATATTCTTGACTTTGTGGATGTTAAAGATATCCCACCAGAAACGCTGGAAGATATAATTGCATGCCTTAAGAGTAGAAAGGTGAGTTACTTGCATTGTGGACATGAAACACGAGTCTTTTCTATAACTCCCTCCCTAGTCCATAACTCCGCCTTAAATCCAGGTGCTCTTTGCATATTTTCTTAACAACGGCTAGATTTAGTGCAGTGAATTCTTTCATTTAGTTCACATTACTCAGTTCATCCTAAATACAAAGTAAAATATTATTTTCAGTTTCCACACTCTGCAATAAGAGAAAGTTAGTGAAGAAAGTGAATCCGATAAACAAAAACGAAAACTCGCGTGATCTCGCCGCTAGGTCTGTATTCCGCCATTCTTCAGTTTACTGATAGCTTTTGTTTCTTACGTTCGTGAGAAGTCTATAAAGTCATCTGTTTTCTATATGTCCTACCCCAATTATAAAAAATGTTAACGCTTCCAGTGATCCTTTGTGTGAAAGTGATGACCTGTGAGTTCTTAAAATGAGTCATCAGGTGCGCGCAACGAATGTTTACCTTCCACCTGGTCCACTTGATGGCTTATTCTTGACATTCCTTGTTAAAGAATGTTACTGACGGTTTTGCTGAAACATGATAAGACTTTATTGATTGAATAGTTTACCAAAAGATTGCCGATTATTCATGATCTACAAAGTTGAATAAAAAAAAGATGAAAACTGGAGGAAATACTATTATAGGATTTTTTGAGAAATGTAGGTGCTATAGTATTTTATATGAAATATTATATTAACAGAAGAAGGGGGTATATCATTGATTATCGAAAATTGACGACTTTACTACATCATTGGGCCTACATCGTGATAAAAGTTTGGCTGAATTAGTGGGATATAAACGCAACCCACATTTCCCTCGATCGACGGACCGTGCTTACTTATCAATGCTTCTTCATGGTCACCAGTGTGAAGATAGTGAGGAGCTTCAAACAGGGGCAACGTTCCGTTGGTTCAAGTCGAAGAGCGCAGAGGTGGTTTAAAGGGCTGAGTTCGAGTAATCCGTCAACTAATAGGTCTAGGTTTGTAGGGAATGGGTAAGGCCATATGAAGTGTGAAAAATGTCACTGGCTGAAACCGCAAGGGAAATAACGAAATGTCAGACAGATGCGATCATGCGCTCTATACATGCACTATTTTGGATCGTGTCCATAAAATGGGAAGAGTAACCGCTTGAGCAAACTGACTTTTCAAGGTTCAAAGAAAGTTTCGCGAAAAGAAGGATATGATTTATCATGTCTACCTTTTTCCACAAAATTTATTTTGAAGAGAATGGTAGCCGACTGAATCACTTAAAAGCGTTTTAGGGAAACAGCCCGAAAACTCGTGTACAAAACGGACCAATGGGCAACACTTTGGCCCAATAAAGTTTGAAATTATTTTCAGTACGCTCTAGAAAACGCAAATCTCACTTTTTTACTGGTCAGTCATACGCTCGAAAAAATCTCAATTCTCTGTCTGTTTGATGCGATTGGCAAAAACTGTCCGTTCCCCCAGTCGCATCATGAGGATTGTCTCTTTTTTGATTAATGTATCCGTAAAAAAATAAGAGAAACATTCCACGTTGATCAATCTCCTTGTGGGATGCGCCATGCATTCTATTTCCATTTCATAATCGGCGTGGCATTTTGGCCTATACAATGACTTAGCGGGGCCAGCCGATGTACAAGTCAGTGTTTTTGTCCTTCACAGACAAGCAACGCCAGATGGCTCGGTTGGCTCAGACGCCGTACGACCTAATGGTAAGATTTGATACTTGGACCGTGCGCCTGGTAAACAGCATCACTTGCCACTACACTACTACCCTCTTCTATCTTTCAATGCGAAAAAGGTTAAAAATGATACTATTGCTCCTCGCAGCTCAATGTACAGTCATTGCTTCGCCTTATCGAGTAGTCCTACCAGAGCAAGCCTGTCGATGGCCAACTGGTCTTTAGTCGAAACCGATCTGGCCCATACGGAACTTCTCAATAACTTTTTTCTTACCAGAGCTGTAAACTGGTTCTTCGGTGACTCAATCACACGCAAGGGTTGACAGAGTGGCTCAGTCCCCGATAGTGATCGATTCGGATTGCAGATCATTTCCTTTTCGATAATGCTGCAATGGAGACGATGAGCAGCAATCCGAGGCAGTAAGGAGGACATGAGGGCACAATGGGAGCCATTACGGGGTACAGCTTTGTAGTTCCTTGAAAAAAAAACCTTGCAAAGTAAAGTGTTGACTAAGCGGTGAACTAAAATTTGATCACACCGAGTCAATGCAGATAAGTGAACTTCGGACCCCATGTGTCACCCCGCCGCCCTCCCACTCCACTTATCATCGTTCATCGACCACCGCGCGTGGTATTTTTTTTTCTCTCATGATGGACGTTATTAATTCGATTTGTCCACAACCGCTCAATACGTAAGCTTACTCTCTCCTCAAAAGGCATCCGGGCTCTATGCAAGTGGGGTGGGCTTCTTCTTCTCCCTAGCGTTAGTCTCGCGCCATCGCAGGGTCCACTGAAACCGAAGTCCTTGTGCAACTGACATGAAAATTCCAAATGAACCGCCTGATTGTGCCACAATTTTTCCGGTCTAAATGACTGATTCAACACTACAGAAATGAATATATAAAGATGTAACACTAAAAATGGTATTGTGACGCAAGAGTGGTTGCATTTTGATACCAATGCAGATTTAGGTGACAAAATGCATCCAAAAAATGCTGAAGGGTACCATTTGATTTCAGAGATTTTGCACAGGAATAGTCCACGTTTCATTGAGGAAATTTTCAATGAGCGGTGCCATTTCTAGATCTCGCAAAACCCAGCAGATTCAAATCAATAAATATGTTACGCTAGTTTTTCTCTGCTCTTGTAAAAAAAACAGTTCAGGGGAGTCGTGATTGAGAATAACTGTATCCTTATGAATGACGAAAGGGTCACCTTGTAGGCGCTAAAGCTAGGAGCGAGATTTCACAAATCTTCAGTAGGAAGTAAAAACCCACCTGAAGCACTAATTAAGCGGCTGTTTTTGGGACAAAGAGAGTCTTCTAATGTAGGAGCAATAATGGAATGTTAAGAGTGAAATCAGATTTTGCGAAGTCGTTTTTACAGTCAAACTACTTCAAAAACGGGCTAGCCATAAGCTTATGGTGTCACACAGACTCAAACAACCCCTCTATTCTTGACTTTGTTTCAGCGTTTCGCCCTTTTTGAGAGCTCCCACAAAAAACTCCCTCACTAGGACTACGCTCAAATACGTGTCAGACTTCGCTATTGAAATTGCGAAGTCCGACACCACCTCAACTTATAAAAATCGAGCTCCTCACTTGAAAACAATGAAATCTATTCGCTTTGGCTTAGATAGAAGGTTGTCAAGTTAAAAAGAAAAAGAGCTCATTATGCCCTTCTTCACCGCCATTCCCCTAGATTGGGTACACTCCCCGTGACAAAATTGTAGCCGGCAGAAGTCCCATTTACATAGATTTCTGTTCAGAAAATGCGGCGTGCCCACCCTCCTTGTATAGCACCGGTACCCGTAGGAATCTTCATAGGACGTTTCAGTAATGCTCGAGGAAATCCAGCATGGTCACAGTAGGACCTACCTCATTCCTTTCTTAAGAATTGCTATGCCAATATAATAATCGTACCTACAAATTTTGTAACTGTAAATAGTGCTTAGGCTTACGACTCTTCCCCTCCTCCTCTATTAGCCACATACGATCCCTTTGCTGATCTAGCGTAACGGACGGTAGGACCTGCGGTGCTATACAAGTGGGGTGGGCACACCCAGCTTTTCACGCATGTCAAGTGACTGCCCTCACCCCCCACCCCCCTAGATTGGCTACACTCCCCCTGGCTCACGAATTCCCCGATTCTCGTGACAGTATAGTAGCGGGCAGCAGTCCCACTTACATACATTTCTGTTCAAAAAATGCGGCGTGCCCACCCTACTTGTATAGCACCGGACCTGCTTCGGTACCTCCTCGACTATTCTCTACAACGATGGAGACGAAGTTTATGCTCGGACTCGCTCAACTTTATCACGCATGTCAAGTGACTGCCCTCAACCTCACCCCCTCTTCCCCTGGACCACGAATAGTCCCACTTACATACATTTCTGTTCAAAAAATGGGGCGTGCACGCCCTACTTGTATAGCACCTCAGATACTTTCGTCGGACTCTGTTCAGATGCTCAGATGTCAGTCGACGTCAATTTTTTGCTTCAATCCTTGCCACATAGCCCCTTATTTTCGCCTCCAGGAAGTGCTGCAACCATTCAGCTGTTTCTTATAGTTACAATCACCTAATTCTCGTCAACGTCTTTTTGCCTGTTTCGCGACACAAGCAATGGTGGGCACGAAATTCGGGGACGGCTTAAGCGGATTGAACGCTTTCCCCTATCCTGTAACTCCGCCAAAGCAGAACTTTCGATGAGGACCTGATCTGAGGTCGAAAATATGGTCAGCCGTCGCGCTCGCGATTTTTCTGTTCTTCTTACGAGGGCGGAAGTGGTGTAGTGGCAAGTGGCACGCTTACCACGCGAGCGGTCCGGGGATCAAATCCTGGGTCGTGAGTCGCCCGGGCCAACCAAGCCTTCCATCCCTCCGGGGTCGGTTAATTGGTACCAGACTTGTCTGGGAGGATAAAAACACTGACTTGTACATCGGCTGGCCCCCGCAAGTCATTGTATAGGCCACATCGCATTCAAACGCCACTACGAATGTACAAATGGAAGTAGAATGCGTGCCGCATCCCAAAAAGGGATTGATCAACGGCAAATGCTTTATCTTTTATCCTTTTATCCTTACTATCCCCCACAAAGAGGTTCCCGGTACAGCCTCCATTGCGTTTTGATTAATGTACAAGTACATAAGAATGTCTGTTATCCCTAGCGTAAGTCCCGCCCAGCCGCAAGGTCCGCTCGTTTTTCAGTCGTCGCCAGTTCGGTCTGTTCAGGGCATCCTCTGCTGTGGCCATGACTTCACTTAGAGTCCTTCTTGATCACGTCTCTCCACCTCTTCTTTGGGGCTCCTCGCGCTCCTTTCGAAGCCCATCGCTTTCTTTATTGGGTGATCCTGTGGCCTCCTTAGCACGTGCCCATACCATCGCAGACGCTGTTCCCTCACCTTCAGCTGGACAGGGGCAGTCTGCATGACCGCTCTGACATCCTCGTTTCTGACCCTGTCCAGTCGCGTCCAGCCGCAGGCCCATCTCAGCATCCTCATCTCAGCGGAGTGAAGCTGCCTTTCGTGATTCTTGTTCAGGGGCCAGCACTCGCTGCCGTAGAGCATCGCAGGCCTTACCACTGTTCGGTACACCTTCCCTTTGAGCGTTCTGGAGCACCTTCGATCGCAGAGGATTCCAGTGGACTCCCTCCATTTCATCCATGCCGCGTTGATCCTCCCCTTTACTGCCTGGTCCACACTGCCGTCGGCGCCAGATCGCTCCCAAGGTATCGGAAGTCCTCCACTCTTTCGATGTTTTTCGTTGGCTTTCTTCGATCGACTTTAAACCGTCTTTAGGCTGAGGAACTTGGTTCTTTACATCTAGATGCCATTCTTGCACCTTGCGCTAAAGATCTTCTCTGCTATCCACTATCAGGGCAGTGTCGTCAATGTAGAGAATGACCTTGAGTGGTGCTTTAATGAGTCCTTACACCATGACAGTTTCATAGTTTTATTTGTAGATTGTTATTGGGGTGTCAGGAAGAAGAGGAACTGGCTCAGAGCTGATCCTTGGTGCACCCCGACCGTGATGTCCACCTCCTTCGTTAGGCCGTGTGGGGTGCGTATAGCTGCCTTGGCTCCTTCGTACATGTTCCAGAGAGATCAGGTGTTCTGGCACGTTTCGTTCCTGAGCGACCTCCATAGTACTGCTCGCGGTAGCCGGTCGAACGCCTTCTCCAGGTCGAGGAAGGCTAGGTAGCAGGGTCGGCGCTTTTCTCGATACTTCTCCATCACTTGCCTTGCGATGAAGATGGCATCCGTTGTAGACCTTTCGGGCATGAACCCGAACTGTTCCTGGGAGATCGGGACCAGCTCCCGCAGCTTCGAGTCGACCAGTCGCTCGTACAACTTCATGGTATGCGCAGTCAACTTGATCCCGCGGTAGTTGGAGCAGTCCATCGCGTCACCCTTCTGCTTGAAGATGGGGACGATAGCCCCGCTTTTTCCTGACATACAGCGTCTTCCCTTCCGCAGTGATCGTCCTTCCATGCCTAGATTGGCTCCTATCTGGAACCAACCGCCTTTCCAACCTTCATCTTCCCAAGTGCACACCGAACCTCATCCTCTGTCCAGAGTGCGATGGGACCAGCTGTGGCCTCTGCCCGTGAGTTGTTCTTGTGGGGAACTCCTCGTTCAGAAGCTGAAGTACTCTTCCCACCTCCTCCTGACTTCGGCTGGCTTCCTCAGGATGGCGCCGTTGCTGCTCTTCACGCTCTTCACCACCCTGATGTCTTGAGTAGCCCGATGCCGGGCTTTGGCCAGTCTGAAGACGAACTTCTCTGCGTTTCTGCTTTCCAACTTCTCGTACAAGGCGTCCATCTCCGTGTTCTTTCGCCTTGGCGACGGCAGCCTTAGCGAGCCTCTTGCAACTCTTGTAGGCAGCGAGGTCCTCGGGGCTCCGGGTCTTCTGCCAGCGCTTGTACCTTCCTCTTCACGACTCGCTGGACCTCCTCGTTCCAGAACCACGCTGCCTTGTCTCCTCTGAATCCACCTCGCGTCTCTCCCAGTACCTCCTTGGCGCATCGTAGGATGATCTCAGCTGCATTGCCCCAAGTCTGCTGCACTGGTCCCTCAGGATCTGGGAGACCAACTTCCATTATCCTTCGTTTGAGGTCGCTCTTCTCTGCTTGGTGCAACTTCCACCACCGGATTCTCCTCTCGGTTCTTACCCTTGTCTTCTTGGGGAGTCTATGGCAATGTCTGCCAGGAGGGGCCTGTGCTGAGGAGCCAGTCGCCGCAGCTTGCCAGCTCGTGGGCTGTAGCCAGGTCCAGAACCCTCTCTCCCTCAGCGTTCCTCGTTCCTATCCCTCTACCTCCGTGCACCCTTTCCAGGCCTCTTCTGTCACTGCCGACGTGCCATTCAGATCACCTGCTATGGTCAGGTAATCGCCTTCCGGAATCGATCTTGATGGCTTCGTCAAGGCTCAGATAGAACTCGTCCTTATCACTTTCGGGGCATCCGGCTTGCGGTGCGTACACGGAGAGTATGGTCCAGTACCCCTCCTTCGTGTCTATCCTCACAGCCATGATCCGATCGCTGATCCTGTTCACAGCGGAGACATAGTCCTTGAGCGACTCCGCTACCGCTATGGCCACGCCGTTCCGCTTGGTGTCTTCTCCATTGTAGTAGAGCTTGACACCTTCCCCAATTTCCTGGCATAATGGTTAGCTCCTTTCCATCGCGTCTGCTAAAGTCTAAGGGCTTGGATCTATCAGCGCGGCAATCTTGTGACTTTCCAGTTAGCGATTCTAAGTAAAGAGTCCCAATTCAAATCGGATTTTTTGGCCGAAGCCGTCCACTCTTCTGTAGCGCTCGCATACTGGCCACAGAACTCAGGTAGGAGCAGGGTCAACCCTACGTTGCGCAAAGAACAACGAGGGGGTCGCATTTGGCCGAACGAAAGGGGGGGGTCGCATACAGAGGGACCAGGGGGTGAAAGGCTGGGAGGAATGGTCCCAAAAGACATGAAGTTACCATAAACTCAATAGTAATCATATTTCAGGCTTGGCTGTTTCGTACCGATCTCCCTGCATGAATTACTACATCGTGAAAAAATCTTTCTGTCTTCAGCACACTTCTATTTAGACCTAGCTTAATTATGAAAAAAGGTGGTATAGGTGCCAAACTTAGCAAGTCACCAATTTCCAGCGTATCGATTGAAATTCAACTGTGTAGAGCAGTTCATGGGAAAGTAAAACAACCATCAAACCATAAAACACACAATGGTACCGCAAAACATACAATGCAATTCGATCATGTACTATCACCTTCTTCGGGAAAGTGGAGGACCTTCAAATGCGAGCGCGACTTCCACCCACAGACAGGTGCACGGCGTATACCCGAGCAGGCGTTTTCTCATAAAAACGCCTTCTCTGTGAGTGGCCGTAAGCAGACAAACTTCCTCAGGAAT